GTTCTCCAAGTCCCCATTCGGCTCAGGAGCCCGGCAGGCTTCACCCAGTGGATCCCGCATAGGGGCTGCAGGACGAGCTGCCCACCAGTCCAGAGCAGCGCCTGCACTACTCAGCCCTTGGGCTGTCCATGGGACCAGGTGCCATGAAGCAGGGGACGGAGCCCGTCTGGGAGGCTGGGGAGGCTCGGGCCGTGCTGGAGCCCACTGCAGGGGGGTAGCTCAGACATGGCGGGCTGCGGGGTCCCGAACCCTGCCCCGAGGGGAGGCAGCTAAACCTGGCGAGAATTTGAGTGCAGCACTTTGGGGCCGGCACTGCTGGGGGACCTGCTGCAACCTCCCGCAGCTGCTGGCCTGAGTGCTAAGCCCCTCATTGCCCTGGGCCAGTGGCGCTGGCAGGCCGCTCGGTGTGCGGGGCCTGCCTAGCCAGTGCCCGTGCCTGCCTAGCCAGTGCCCGTGCCTGCCTGAACTTGCACTGGCCCGCGAGCGCCACGTGCAGCCCGGGTTCCCGCTCGCACCTCTCCCTCCACACCTCCGGGCAAGCAGAGGGAGGCAGCTCCGGCCTCAGCCAGCCCAGTGAGGGGCTCCCACGGTGCCATGGCGGGCTGAAGGGCCCCTCAAGCGCCACCAGAGTGGACGCCAAGGCCGAGGAGGCGCTGAGACTGAGGGCTGCTAGCACATTGTCACCTCTCACAGGTAGCAGATTTCAGAGAGAACAGATTGCAAATGTTTCTTATCAGACTTAAGTTTAATGCTGGTCAGCTTTTCCTGAATTCCAAAAGGGAGGAGGGTGTAATGAGTTATGTACAACTCTCCCATCCCATCATGGCCTTAACTAGTTTTTCAGGTTAACTTTAGAATGTGCTTGGTCAAGAGGGAGCGTCCATTCAGATGGTTTGAGGCGGGGAGGGCTTACAATTTTATTTTACATAGTGAAGGTTAATTATCTCAGTACAATTAGGTCATCTTCATTTTTCTTTTAAAAATTTTGTCTTCCTTTATCTCCCTGAATACACACACACAGTATACTATTGTCTCATTGCAAGACCCATTCTCAAATATTATTTTCTTTTAGAGAGACTCTTGCTGTTATTTAGGTTCACAAAATGGTGTCAGAAGTGAAATAAAAGTGGCCTCATCTCAGATGAATCAGTGGCCCCTCGAATTGAGTGAAGTACCTACTGACCCCTTTGGTCCTCACCTCTTTTTATACCAGGAAAGGGACTGGCACATCTCTGGTTATGTAGCAAAAATCTCCCATAGCCCAAAGGCTGGGGTCTGACATCCAGTCTGACTATATACCTGTGTTGTTCAGTTCCATGAATTTTCCTTAAAAAGGCTGTCTGCAAAGCCAATCTGTGAGTACTCTCTACTATTCACCTTTTATTGCTATCTGCTCAATATTTAATTTTGGAGATACATTGTGCGTGTTATAGTATTTTATAATTAGCTCTAGTAAGGATACTCTGGGAACATGCTAGTCAGAACACATCTCTGCTACTCTTTCCTCTCAATTAAATATCTGACACTTATCTCCTGAGCAGAGGAGCTACTGGAGCAAAGAGAGCTCGCGGTACGTGATTAAGCCTTAAAGCCCTGTAACAGTGCCAGTGGAGAGACCAGTTATTATTTGTAGGGCGGTGGAAGGTAGAGTAAGTATTGCATCTCATAAATGAAGCTAACTAACGACGATACAAACAAAGCTGGCACTTATTATCTAAGTCATCTACTTATATTCTTATCAGGCATAAGAAGTTGTACCTTAAATCGAACCCAGGCAGTAATCTGAAGACAATTTTTCTTGGCATGAATAATGGTTCAGTAACATGAATTTCTGGTAACCAGAAATAATGTAGGGGAAAAAAATTAAGTTTAGACACAAAACTGTGTTGGAAAGATGATGCTCTTACCAGTTAACACAAACGGAAGCAATGCCTCTTAAGAGCCAAAAGTGAGAGAGAATGTAATCCAACTCTCTCATGAGGCTAAGCGATTTGCCCACAGCCACCAGGTTTGGTCAATCATTCTTGGAAAGTAGCCTATACCAATTCATCAAAGTTTGAGGACAAGGGAATAAAAAACAAAATATAATATTGGCAATGAGAAGGCAGGATTACTCTTATTTATAGACGTTTGTATACTGGGAAAACCAATCAACTAAAAACCATGGAGGAAAAGAAGTTTAGATGTTGGCTAGATACAAAAACAATCTGTAACAATAGTTTTTGTGTGTTTACATACAGCCAACCATTCAGGAGCCACAATGCAAGATGACATTCCCATAAGCAACACAATACATAAAATATCAAGGAATAAACTTAGTAAGAAATGCTCTACACCTGTATGAAGTAAACCTCTAATGAGGGATGTAAGACTTGAAGACAGAAATAGTCTCTATTCTTGCAGAACATTCAACCCTTGAAAATATTAGTTATTTCTAAACATTTTATAAAGTCAACACAATGCCAACATAAATCCCAAAGGAGTTTAAAATTTGGGGGAAAACTTGGCCAAAACATTTAGGTTATAGTTCACCTGAAAAATAATTATTGCTGGCCGGGTGCGATGGCTCATGTCTGTAATCCCAGCACTTTGGGAGGCTGAGGCATGCAGATCATGAGGTCAGGAGATCGAGACCATCCTGGCTAACACAGTGAAACCCCGTCTCTACTAAAAATACAATAAATAAATAAATGATTATTGCTAAGAAATATGAGCAATGAACATTGGCTGAAAGTATTCAGGAAAGCCTCAAAAGTCAAAACAGCCTGTAATTGCAGCACTTTGGGAGGTTGAGGTAGGCAGATTGCTTGAGCACAGGCATTTGAAGCCAGCCTGAGCAACATGGCAAAACCCTGTCTCTACAAAAAAATACAGAACATTAGCCAGGTATGGTCATGGGCACCTGTAGTACTAGCTACTTGGGTGGCTGAGGCAGGAGTATTGCTTGAGCACAGGAGGTTGAGGCTGCAGTGAGCCATGTTTGTGCCACTGCACTCCAGTCTGGGTGACAAAGCTAGACTCTCTCAAAAAAACCCCCAAAACACACAAACAAAAACCACATAAAATATACCCCAGTATCAGGTGTATTAAAATAGTGTGATACATAGACGGGAAAAGACTGAACAACAAAACTGTTCCAGGAGTGCTGAGAATTTGGCATGTGATAAATGTGACATTTGAAATCAGCATAGAAAAGTTACATAATTTAATAAACAGTATTTGGGATAACTAATTTGTTAGGGGAAATATATGAGTTGTGTCCTCAAAAAGATGTGTTGAGGTCCTAACCTCTGGTACCTATGAATGTGATCTCAACTGGAAACAGTGTCTTTACAGATGTAATCAAGTTAAGAGGAGGTCATACTGGATTAGAGTGGGACTAATCAATCCAATTGACTGGTGTCCTTATAAAGATCTGGACACAGAGACATACAGGGAAGAATGCCAAGTGACAAGAGGCAGAAATTGGAATAATGCAGCTATAAGTCAGGGAGTATCAAGGATTGACAATCACTAGAAACTAGGAAGGGTCCCTCCTCCCCTAGAGCTTTCAGATAGAATCTGGCCCTATTGAAACCTTGATTTCAGACCTCTAGTCTCCGAACTGTGAGATAACAAATTTCTGTTGTTTTAAGCCACCCAAGTTTGTGGTAATATATTACGGCAGCCATAGGAAACGAAAACAAAATAATAAAGCTGGATCTCTATCTCTGTCCTCATATGAAAAAAAAAAATCTAGATGGATAAAAGAATTAAATGTAAAACAATCACCACCAAAGACCAGAAGAAAACATGAGTGAAAACTTGCATCAAAGGGGAAGGGCTTTTTAAAAACACAAGGAAATAAATTTGACTTTATAAACATCTTAAACATCTGTGTGGTAAGTCAAAAGGCAAGAAATTATAAAATAAATCTGTAACTCAGGGCAGATAAAGGGTAGGAAGAAAGATATAAACAGCCCATAAAAAAACGGACAAAGAACAAGATGAGTTGGCATGAAAATATAAATAAGATATAAAAACATGCTCAAATTTACTAAAGAAATGCAAATGCATTTAATGCATAAAGTGTTTTACTGAGATTAAAGACTTATTTCAGTCAATTAGCTAGGGTGTAAAAACAGGTACTTCATTCACATTTGATGGGAGTACACATTGGTATAATTATTTTGGAGGGCAGTAAATATTACCTCTTCCTTGGCTATTTCAATTATTTTCATATTTTTGCTTTTCCCATTCTAATGTATGCATTGTTTATATAAAGTCTTTTTTTTTTTTTGGTAATTTTCCCAGAAAAGAGATCAAAGTCCGTTGAAGGATATTTACTTTCGTGGAATGTGATATGTACGGGGATATCAGTTTGAAAAGCAATTTACAAGACATTACCCCAAAATAAGTGACTGTATCAGTTTCACTGCAAACCACACCACTACTTTTTTCACTAATAGTATCTCATTTGTAATTTGCATTTTTAAGTGAAGAGAAATATCTTTCCAGAAACCAAAGAAATATGATTTGCTACTCATGTAAATGGTATTTCCATTTTTTTGGTGGATTAATTCACAGACTCATATTAATTTCTGGATATTTCTATCCTCTTAGTAATTCCAATAAATCCTTGTGTAACATATATATTAACTCTTGGCTTGCCTCTCACTGGGGATTCTTTCCACACCATGTAATTCTCAAGGTTCCTTCATCCATTTCCATGGCTCTGCCCACCACCTTTATGCTAGACTCTTCAATTCATGTGCTCTACAGCGAAGTCTTTTCTTCTCAAACCACTTAGAACAGTGTAATGCACACTGGGTTTTAAACACTGAAATATAGACCTATAAGGACCATCTAAAAATATTAATTTTAGGGTTGTTTTAAATATTAAATATGAACGATTAGCAAATAATTCTATAGCATTAATGCATGGAAATAAGCAGTGGATATAAAAATATTCTGCTTAACTATGAAAGACTGCCGAAGTGCTTAAATAAATGAATATAAAAACGAGTTTTAAAACTCTTTATTTAAAAATCTCTAACTGTAATGTTTCATAAAAAATATATACATGTTTCTATTTACATATTCCATTAATTCTATTAGTTTGAATTAGATTTTAAGTCCAATTTTGAAAAGCTTGCAGAATTTCTTCTGAAATTAACCACTTAAAATTACTGTATGCATAAAACTTACAAAAACATATGCTATATCAAGGCAGAGAAAAGAAAAAAAGTGAAGTGGCTACAAAGGTCCCTGGGGCATCACCTGCTCACCTAGGAATAAGGAGTACTGGATACTGTTCCTTGTTACTGCTAACCTATCTGGATGTAAAGGGTCATAAATTACTTTTTTTTGTTTAAAAAAAAAAACAGTCTTTGTAGTTTTCAGGCCAAAATTGAAAATGCCACACATCCTCTTTACACTTTTATCTAAACTAAGTCACTCCCTTTGGTTGATACCAGCTAAGATACAATTTCTGAGATCATAATCTTTTCATGAAATTAAAGCAGAAAACTGTCCAGGAAAATGAGACTTCAGAGTTGGTGCATCTTAGCTGATCTCATGAAAGTTCTTTGGAACCTTCTGTTGGTCTGTAACCAATCAAGGACTCTTTACGGCCATCATCCACAAGTAGATCCACCAGCACATGCGGTTTATCATAACCAAAGGAGGTGGGGGCTTTTATTACTGTTATGAGCTCTTGTCCTTCTGTTTTTATTTCACCTTTATTATTTGGGGGAAATTCTGAATCAGATGAGTTATGTGATTCCAGACAGCTGGAATCAGTATCAAAACCATTTCTGGAGTGATCACTATCAGAACAATTTCTGGAGTGATAGGAGTTTAAAGCGACGCTGCAGGGTTCAGACTGGTTACTACTTAAAGGTGAAGAACTCTCTCTCTCTATTGGAGTCAGATGGCTGCCGGGGGCCATGTCAGGAATGTTTTCTTCAGTAGTCACCACTTCTGTTATACTAGAAAGTTCTTCTGTATGCTCTACTTTTCCTGGATTGTCTTCGGTATGCATGCCTGGAACTGTTGCTGGAGACAACGGTTCTTCACAGACCACCTCCTTTTCTAAGGAACATGGCTGGTATGATGTGATGAGTGATACATATTTTGATTCAGGTTTTGTCTCTAAAGTAGCACTTCTTACCACAGAGATCTATGGGGAGAAAAATTGATTAAAGATAAAATATTGTTAAGCTTAAGTGCCTACCCTCAAAAAAACAAATGTCTAAAGTAATGGACCACCAAATGGCACATTTAGGATAACGGGTGAATCAGATGGCTGCCTTTTCTTTTTAATGAAAGGTACCATAGTAAGATTAAAAACAAAGTTTTAGCATTTTTAAAAAGCCATCAGATATCTTTTTTTATTATTATTATACTGTAAGTTCTAGGGTACATGTGCACAAGGATATCTTACTAATATACGTTGCTTTTTGAAACGTTACTGTGATGGTTAATAGTGAGTGTCAACTTGATTGGACTGAAGGATACAAAGTATTGATCCTGGGTGTGTCTGTGAGGGTGTTGCCAAAGGAGATTAACATTTGAGTCAGTGGGCTGGGAAAAGCAGACCCTCTGTTAATCCGAGTGGGCGCAATCTAATCAGTTGCCAGCATGGTTAGAATATAAGCAGGCAGAAAAATGTGAAAAGAGAGATTGGTTTAGCCTCCCAGCCCACATTTTTCTCCCGTGTTGGATGCTTCCTGCCCTTGAACATTGGACTCTGAGTTCTTCAGGTTTGGAGCTTGGACTGGCTCTCCTTGCTTCTCAGCCTGCAGACGGCCTGTTGTGGGACCTTTGATCGTGTGAGTTAATACTAAATAAACTCCCCTTTATATATATATCTCGATACTTATATATATATTCCATTAATTCTGTCCCTCTAGAGAATCCAGATACAATTATCTTCCACATGTATGCATATTATGTCTGCAAAGTGAGCACATCTACTTAATATTCTCATTACTTGCCTTCATCATTGTAATTTTTAGTGGCTCATATTATTTCTTTATACTGATAAATAATTTCTCTAATAGATGTGGAAATGTTTCCAATTTTTACTAGCTATACAACATGTTAAATATCCCGCACATCTTTTTATTTATGAAATTATTTCCTTATAATACATTTTTTAAGAGTGGAGTGACTATATTGAAGAAATGGCATGTTTATGGCACTATTACACCGAATACCCACTGTGTGCTTTTCTTCTTACCAGGGCTAGATTACTTTTAACCAGCATTTACCCATTATCCTACTACTACTGGATATCCCGGTTTCTTTTTCCTTCTCTAGTGTAAAATGGCATACTGCAAGGTTGCTTTGTGCTTAATTACTAGTAAAAAATAAAATATTACAATTCATTTGTGAGTTGACTACTAATTGAGAGTTCTTATCTACTGTACTTAAAGGTAGTTTTTTTAATAGCAAATTTTAATGTGCCCTTTGAGCATCACAGATATTATTCCTGTCATATTTGATTCAAATAGATACTATTCTGTTACCTTTAAATGTTCTTTTCATCAAAGGCTTTGAAATGTTGGACACTGAAATCGTCAAACTCCTATGTTAGTCTCATTTTTGGCCAACTTTCCTTTTATACTCCAACAATAATGAAGTGTTTCCATATTAGCAGATCTTTCAAAGTCATGCTTTCTTGGCTCTGCACCTCGGCACATTCTGTCCCCTAGTGCCTAAACTCCTGTGTGTCTCTCAAGACTGCTCAGGCATTGCCTCTGGAAAAGCCATGACTAACCCCATCCCAAAGCTGGACAAAGTCCTCACAGGCTCAGGTATAAACCTTTGAACCTATCACACTGTATATATCCAATGTATACTTATCTTTTCTTTCCACTAGACTTTAAGATCTTTAACAGAATTGTCTGTGTTTTTGCCCTGAGAATTAAAACAAAACAAAACAAAACAAAACGTGCTGCATAGCAAAAGACACAGTATGTCATTTTGGATGTGTGGTAGACTGACTGATGGCAGGTGACATGCTGTTGAATATCATTCCACTTTAAAAACATAATTTAAGAAACTATCAAAAATGGTTCAAGTTAACCTTTTAGTGTGTACAAAAAAAATTAAATACATTACCAAGGACTTGGGTAATATTATGCTTTTTTCCTTCAATGGATTAATCTTCTTAATATAAAAACAGATCAATACCAGGCTAAGTACTAGAAAGAGTAGTAAAGCAGCAACAACTGGAATCCAAAGAGAACCTTAAAAAGGCAGAAATTGCAAATTACAATTAAGATGGAATACTGCTATTGTCTATCAAAAAGTCTTAGTGCCATTCTTGAATAGATTTACACATTAGTGAATATGGCCAGAGTTTTAAAGAACACTGAAGGAAGCAGAAGTTAGGAACTCTGAGTAAAAAATTAGGTATCTGTCTTGGATAGCAATATGATTCCTCCCAGCTCTGCAATTCTAGAACTTTCTGGGACTATTCTGCTATGACATAATATAGTTAAAATAGCTTTTCCACAATAATTTCCTTACAGCCCTACATACAGTATGTTTCCAGGGTTATGCACTTCTTTCAGTTAAAAATGCAAAAGAAGAATTTAAAAAATATCTCTCTTTAGAAATAAATTCTGGCAGCTGGGCACGGTGGCTCATGCCTGTAATCCCAGCACTTTGGGAGGCTGAGGCAGGCGGATCATGAGATCATGAGATCAAGAGATTGAGACCATCCTGGCCAACATGGTGAAACCCCATCTCTACTAAAAATACAAAAATTAGCTGGGTGTGGTGGCGTGTGCCTATACTCCCAGCTATGCGGGAGGCTGAGGCAGGAGAATCACTTGAACCCAGGAGGTGGAGGTAACAGTGAGCTGAGATTGTGCCACTGGACTCCAGCCTGGTGACAGAGCGAGACTCCATTTCAAGAAAAACAAAAACAAAAACAAAACAAAAAAAAAAAAAGAAAGAAAGAAATAAATTCTGGCAGTGTTTATAGCTCTTAAAATGATTTAGCCCCCACTCCTCAGAATTTTCTGTTACATTTATTTATTTCATGACTGCAAATACTTATAAAGCTTCACAGATGTACATGCACACAGGAATGTTGCACAGGAATAAAGTCCCCTTAATTACAAACCAGACATAAATAATATAAAATAGGAAAGATCTGTGTCCAAGCACAGACATCTAGAATCACCATTGTGTATTTTGCTCTAATGCTGCTTTTTATTTCTGCAGCACAGTCTTCAGTATTTTTTTTTCATAGTTCTCTCTTCCAATTAACAGCACTGTAACATACTGTGGCAATGTCTGGCTTCCTTTAGGGCATTTTGTTACCTAGAATTTTCTAACTATGGAAGTTACTAGTTAATGAATGCTTCTATTACGCTTATCACAGGATGTGAAAAAAGTTAAATCATTACAAAAGTAAAAAATAACTACAAAACCACTCCCTTTAGTGTTGTTAGAAGTCCCATGGGCTGAGCAAGTGCTGGCTGCAAGGCACTGAGGCAAGCAGGCAGGGGCTGCTGCTCAGGAGCCACAGCGATGCTACCGTGTGGCCATATTATCAGTGCAGTTTATAATTCAGGCTAAAAACAAATCTGGGGCATTTGCAGTATTTCAAATTTTGAGCATTAAGAAGGGTTTTATTTTTCAAATAGCATAATGAAAATTAGCATAAATGTACTGCACTGCTTTAAGTCACCTATTTGAAACCTTCATATAATGGCTGGAAGTTATTATTATTGAATTTTAGGTGTTTGTTCTGACTCTTCAGCCTATATTTCCATTCTTCGAAAATATACTTTTATCATAAAATTTTAGTAAATTTTTAAACCTATGAAATATATTCTAAAAAAATCCTAAGAAAAAATGTATATATATCTATATATATACACACATATACATGTGTGTATATATATACACCCATACACACAAAGATAATCATCAAAGCATGAGTTGTCATAGTGAAAACTCCTATACTCTTAAAAGTCCAAAAACAATAAAACATTAAATACATAATTTATATAGTGAAATATTCTATAGACATTAATGAAGTATCTGAAATAAAATGGAAAAATATTTATAATATATGCTTAAAGCAATAAACAAAATCATATATACTATACAATATGATCATGTCTATGTAGAAAAACTAAAGAAAATATCAAACTGTGAGTAATGGGGTACTTTTGCATGGTAAAACTACAGATCATTTTATTTTCTTCTGGCTTTTCATATTTTATAAATTATCTATAATGAACACTTACATTTCATAACTACAAAGAAAAGCCCAAACTTCTTTAAGATACCTGACACCTGAGAGTAACAGTTCTAAAGTTCAAGTTCTAACATATATATCTCTACCTCCCAACCCCCCATATTAAAAGATGAAATAAAATTAATTATTGTAAAATGCCATAAAAATGATCCATTATTTATTATTTAAACCCATCTATAAAGCTTTCTGGATATTAACCACAAGTCTTTGTCCAGTCCACATCATACAGTTGTAATCAATGAGCGTTCCTGCTCTTCAGTCTTTAAATTACAATCCCCATAGAGAACATTTTAGTGGATTCATAACATCTTGCTATGGTGAAGTAACAAACTGACTTATAATTCATAATCCTGAAATGCAAACATTTGTGCAGTTTTATGTACTTATTATATTTTTTTTCTTTCCTGGGTCAAGGGGCCATCACATGGCTTTCCAAATTGGTTGTTCTGTATCTTTTAATGTGTGAGAAACTGCTTTATTTTTAATTTTGAACTTTTCTAAGGAATGGAACTAATGGAACTGAATATTGTTAAAACAGATCTTTTGAAACTGCAAATGAGTTTGCTTTCCTCACATGATCCTGTTTTAGTTACTGCTCCCTCTATATTTAGAAAAAAAATGGCAAGAATTTACCTTTTATGCTGCTATTGAAAATGGTAATACAAACTTCTTTTGACTTTTCAGTTGTAACACCCCATACATGTAAGACTCCTTCTGCTGAAACACAGTACTGAGAATTCAGTGAGGACACTGGAATCACTAACTGGCACTGAATCTCGTCACAATCATCTTCCTTCTGCGTCAGTATTTTATACTGGATCTAGATGGAAAAAGAAAACAGTGAAAATGCACAGCTTCTTTTAATCTGCATTAAAAAAAAAAAATCACCATACTAGTCCTGGTCAAACAACTGAAGAAAACATATGTGACTGATTTGAACCTGTCTAAAAATAGCTTTGATATCAATAAGTCAATTTGTTACTTCAACATAGCACGATACTATGCATCTGTTATATTCCTTATAAAGACGGTTAATTTAAAAACTCAAATTGCAGGAATGTTTATTGTTAGTTGTTAAACTAACAAATGTTCATTTGTCCTACTCATTTGTCCAGAAACTTAGCTGGTGAGAAACAGAAGTATTAATATTACTTTACATCACTGCCAATGAGGAAGAAAATCCTCATTTTACCAGTGGAACAATGGAGGTGTACTGGGAAAAATCCTAGATTAGAGCTGTTCTGCTAAGTGAAGCAAATAAAAACGTAAATGTATTCATGTAGTCAGTGTTAGTGACTAACTCCGTATCATTTTTGCTTTAATAGCATTCACATATTTTTTCTTATCAAAATCTATGATCTGTGAGTCTTGCTTGAATATTTATAAGCATTGTATTTTCATTACATTACAGAAAGAAACAACTTTTGCTAGCTACACAAGAATTTCCATTATGAAAAATGTGAAATAGAAACACATACCTCACTTCCGTTCATTCTCACATACACATTGTACACCTTAATGTAACAGGTAGTTTCTGGATCATAATCGACTTCCTGCTCTTCTCCATTTACAAAAACTGAAGGGTGAAATACGTCAATGATGATTTGCTTCTCCTCCTTTCTGATATCCAGTTTAGGTGGTCCAATTTTTCCTGGGGAAGGAGGAGGAGAAAGTATAATAAGTACTTGGAACTTCATGGTACTTTCATAAAATTACCAGAATCTGTCAATCAGCCTATTCTTTTTTTGTTCTGGTTGTTCTAAAGCAGGACCACATTTAAACCACTCCACAAATATCTAGAAGATAGTCTCAGTGTCCTTTATAAACAAATGTTTCATAAATCTTAGGAAATAAGTACTCTTATCTAATCTAAATGCCTCTTTAGCAGTTTAATTTCATTTCTAGTTATAAACAAAAATAGTTATAAACTTTGGTTTAAAAAAGACTTCACATAATATAAACTCTATTAAGTAATTTTTCCTTTATCTTTGCTTCTGTGGATTAAGAAGCCTGGTTTCTAAGAAACGCTTCAGAAATGGCATTAGTTACCTTCCCTCACCAAAACTTTTTACTGTGAAAGATGAGAACTTACTCCATAAATGTTTATTAGGTCTTTGATGTTTGAGACTTTGTTGGTGAACCATTTATCTAGTCTTCACATATTACTGTGTACCACTGTGTGCCAGGCAGGTCTGTTTTTAACGCATTACTGTATCCTCAGGGCCCGGTATACTTTCCGGCACATAGTAGGCCCTTGATAAATCTATATGGAAAAAAATCTAACATGCAGATGGTGTGGTAATCAGATGACAAAAGTGTGGACTCTGGGGAAGAAAAGTATTTAAAGGGCAAGGAGAGGAACAGCCTGTAGAAGAGACCAAAGAGGCACAATCTGAAAGGCAGGAGCAGAGCAAGGAAGTGAGGCTAGAAGGAAAGGGACCCAGGGGCTAGAAGACCAGGGAGGAGTCAAGTGACTAAAGGTGTCTTTCACCCAGGAGTGAGGGTCTGAGAGCTATGGCAGGATGTCATAGTTCGAAAACAGGAACTGGCACTAAAGATTCAGGAGTTTGAGGTGACAGCAAACATCAGGTACACTATGGGAGTGGGATGCTGGAAGAGTGAAGACCTGAAAATCACCGTGGCTGAAGAGAATAAGGAACTCTGCAAATTTTAAATGTATTAAGGTGGTATTCAAGCTCCCCGGGCATTAAGAATAAGAGTTAGCTGCCAAAGTCCTTAGTGAATATAACTTACAAATGAATGACAAAAGATGGGAAGGGCAAGGGTGGTGCAGGGGACCGCTGGGCAGCACAGACCCATAATTGTATGAAGTGGAAATGTCATAGCATAGAAGCAGCAAAGTGATGGCCACCTGTTAGCCCTATTTTGTGGGGCTTGAAAGAAGGGGAGGAGGATACAGGTTGAGTATCCCTTATCCGAAATGCTTGAGACCAGTAATGTTTTCGGTTTCTGAGTTTTTGTTTTCTGGATTCTGGAATATTTGCATTATACTTACCAGGTGAACATTCCAAATCTGAACATCCAAAATGCTCCAATGAGTATTTCCTTTGAGTGCCATGCTGGTGCTCAAAAAATTTCAGATTTTGGAGCATTCTGGTTTCCAGACTTGGGATGCTCAACCTGTACTCTCTAAATACCTCCAAGTGCTTCTTAAGCACTGTGATAATTTTCAGCAACTGCTAATAAAAGCAAATATATAGAAGACATGTATATTTTCCAATTTAAAATTTACATGTGTACACATTCTACTCACCATCTCGGCACACAGCAAATTCTTTTGACTTTGCATAGGCAGATTCTTTTTGTCCAACCCTGGCTTTAACTCTGACCCAAAGAGAATTTGATGGATCACCAACGTGATCAGAAATATTACAATAATGATGAGAAATACTGATGCAGGCATCAATCCATTCTGCATTCTTAACACTAAAAAGAATTAAGAAATGTGAAGATAACTTTTACTGTTATTAAATAAACTCAAACCATTTCTGTCTGTGCTTTGCTTTTTATTCACAGCACAAAGCAGTAGAAAGAGCAGAGTAAGAATAGGATGGAGACGCTAAAGAAAGTAGGAAGCCCTTACTCTTTAGTTAGAAGAACTACAAACTCCGTTACAGTAAAGAGGCTCAATTCAAAATGTAAGACGTATGCAAGCCACATTCCACATTCAATTTTTTAAAAATCTGCTTTTTTAAACAACTCTAAATTCCATTAATATACATGTTAATTATAGGACTAAGCACATTACAAAAACTAACAGTTGTCAAAAAAGTTTTTTGAAATTTATATTGTTCTACTAAAAACTACATACACTATAGGAAGACAACATACTAACTACGAGACGGAGTCTCGCTCTGTCGCCCAGGCTGGAGTGCAGTGGTGTGATCTCGGCTCCCTGCAAGCTCCGCCTCCCGGGTTTACGCCATTCTCCTGCCTCAGCCTCTCGAGTAGCTGGGACTACAGGCGCCCGCCACCATGCCCGGCTAATTTTTTGTATTTTTCAGTAGAGACGGGGTTTCACTGTAACTATTAGCTTTATTTGTCATGCTAATCTCAGTTTAGTGATACTTCTCTACTTCAATACTGATAAGGAAGAGGAAATAAGAGGCAAGAATATCTGGCAAAGAATTTACATCTTTAGCACTTTTGGACATCTACAAGCAGTTCAGGATGTTTTGCCACGTGGGAAGGATGATGAAAGCAGAACACAGTTGCGGAATTTGCAAGGACCTAAACAAAAATGGATAAATCAAAGAGTGACACTCACCCATAGTTCTTTACCTCTACGGTAAAAACAGGGTCCTGTGGCATGTTCTGGTACTCCCAATATACGATGGTGTTCATGTTATAGGACTCAATTGTAACATTAGTTGGTATAGGCACTGTAAGAGAATAAAAAAGTAAAATGGACAGTTGTAAGAAACTAACATTAATATTGGAAAACCTTATTGTAAGATGCCACATTAGTCAGATACGTATATTTGAAGAAAAGCAGAATTCACCAGGATACCAAAATTATTTAAATTAAGAGTAGATATCCAGAAGTTAATTTTATTGAAAAATCTATAAAGAATTCTGATTCATTTTAAATTATGGAAACATTGCAATATAAAGGAAACACAAATACATCATGAAGCAATAAATTCTCATAATATGATAGAAGTTTTATAATCAAATGCACTGACTACTGTAATAATCATCCTCATTTCATCACTAGACTTTTCAATATTTGATACTGCAGATTGTATTCAACATTGATATGGTTTGGCTGTGTCCCCATCCAAATCTGAACTTGAACTGTATCTCTCGGAATTCCCATATGTTGTGGGAGGGACCCAGGGGGAGGTAATTGAATCACAGGGGCTGGTCTTTCCCATGCTAGTCTCTTGATAGTGAATAAGTCTCAAGAGATCTGATGGGTTTATCAGGGGTTTCTGCTTTTGCTTCTTCCTCATTTTTCTCTTGCTGCCACCATGTAAGAAGTGCCTTTCGCCCTTGCCATGATTCTGAGGCCCCCCAGCCATGTGGAACTGTAAGTCCAGTTAAACATCTTTTTCTTCCCAGCCTTGGGTATGTCTTTATCAGCAGCATGAAAACAAACTAATACAAATGTCTACAGAGGAACTGGCTACACTAAGGATGGCCTCTAAAATACCACCAACCTCTCAACTCTACACATAATACTATTATGCCTTCAACACTTTTTCTGTAGTACAGGAATAGATACCTAAAGATTGAATAATGGAGCCACACATTCATTTCATAAACATTCTGCTCTCTGGGGTGTGCAGGGCTTTTTACAAAACATACCCAACATTTCTTCTTGCCTTCACTCTTTTAAACCTTTCAGAAAACATCTGTTGATAAGACTTGAAAGAGTCATGCAAGAGGACAGACAGAAGTCATTTTAACATCTAATCAGACACTACCAAAATCTAGTCATTAAAAATAGTCACAGGCCAGGTGCGGTGGCCCACACCTATAATCCCAGCAGTTTGGGAGTCTGAGGTGGGAGGATCTGTTGAGCTCAGGAGTTGGAGACCCCATCTCCACAAACAATTAAAAAATAAGCCAGGTAAAGAGGCCTGTGCCTGTAGTTTCAGCTACTTGGGAGGCTGAGGAAGACTGCTTGAGCCCAGGGGGTCAAGGTTGCAGTGAGCTGTGACTGTGCCACTGCATTCAGTTCTCTTAAAAAAGACCAAAAAAAAAAAAAAAAAAGGTAGTCATTTTTCCCCACTGTTCAGTGTAAAAGGTTGTTATCCAACACCCCTTGGAAAACTGAACACATACACTTCTCCTTTCTCCCTTCACTTCTTTATAAACATGAATGTATACAGTTAGCGATGTGACCCCAAATTTATGGTTATTCAATCTCACCTAGCTGGAACATTCTTTTAAACATGATTTACTTATATAATTAAAACAAATAAATGAATGGCAATGTGGACAGGAACAGTGGCTTCCAAACATAACTTATAATCATCCTCAAAAATTGAGAGAGGGACAGAAGTTTCTATTTTTTCAAAGTGCCTTGGATGATAATGATTATTTATATCAAGCAGACTGCTTAAATAAGAAAAATACTCCCTGGGTCAAACATTAATAAACTTGGGTTCTTTCTTGGCCACACTGCTAAATACTTCAGATTTCCTGATCTTTCAAGTGAGGTGTTACTTTCATATCCCTAAGATATTTGCTTACTGATGAAGGGAAAATCTATATTTTCCCCGAAACAAAAATTCTAATATTCAAGACCAAACTGGTATATTGCCTTAATTTACAGTTATTTAACATACATATTATATTTTCAAAGCAGAACATGGATCAAGAGTTATTTAGGTAAATAATTGGCACTAATGAACCATTAAATGCTATCATCATTATTATTTTCTTTTTCTGATTATTTTTTCCTTTATTGCAGTGGTTCTCTGTGGGAAGTGATTTTGTTGCCCAGGAGACAGGCAATCAATGTCGGTAGACATTTTTGGCTCTCACAACCTGGAGAAGAAATGCGGGGGGTAGGTACTGCTGGCATCTAGAGGGCAGAGACCAAGTGTGCTGCTAAATATCCTAAAATGCACTGAACAGCCTCCACAACAAAAAATAATATAGCCCAAAATGCCAGTAGTGCCAAGGTTGAGAAACCCTGCTTTATGTTTACAATTTAAGTGTTCTTCTTTAAAAAAAAAAAATTATGAGGAAAAACTAACTTAAAAACAGAATGCTTTACAGTAAACCAGTATATTTCATGGCTCCCCTCAAACAAATGAATAGATTTGGTTATTGCCAAAATATCTAACTTCTATATTATTTACCAAAATGGTGTAATAATTTGGGCCAAAAGGTTGAGATGATAAAGCTGGGAGGGTCTGAAGATTCAAATACTTCATACTACTAACTTGACCTTTTTGTGGCCAGTGACCAGACACCTAGTTTTTCTCCTTCTGCTTCCAGAAGCGCTGCTGAAGGCTGTTGGTACCTGCCATCTCTGGTTCTCTAAGCAACTTCCTTGTAGGTGATTCCAACAGCACTGCTCTCGCCAGAGTAGCCTTGGCTCTTTGTTTTTTGTAGAGTTCCCATGGCTATTCATAGCAGGGTATACTGAGGCTTCCTTAAGAGCATCTTTTTTCTATCACATGCTTGCATCTCAACCTCCTGAAACAACTCAAATACTTCATAATCCATATTTTAGGTAGTAATAAGTCACTCCTCTTCACCTGGGTTCAATCAACATTAATATCAAATAATAATCACACATATAAACACACTTTTTCAACCAGAAAAGAGAGGTACTTGATGCTAAGAAAACTCATACTAAATCTGAGCCTTCCTTCAGAGGCCATTTCTTCATTTTGGCATTTTTTGCCTCTTGAGAGGCTGAGAATTTTCAGACCAGGTGGTCCTGGTTTCTTTTTAACAGTTCTTCCCATGATTGAGCAGGCTCACCTGTTACCATAAGACCCAAGAAAAAAACCAGGTGGCACTTTCAGCACTTTGCTTAGAAACCTCCTGAGCTAGATCACACAACTCCTCAGACATTCTCTACTTTTGGTGTCACTGAAAGCTACAGTGTCACTCAGCTTTCTGCCACTACATAGCAAGGATCGCCATTCCTCTGGTTTCCAAGACTGGAAATCCTTCCCTTCCTTTTAAGCCCCATGCCTCCACTTTTTTTTTTTTTTTTTTTTGAGATGGAGTCTCACTCTGTTGTCCAGGTTGGAGTGCAATCTCTGCTCACTACAACCTCTACCTTCTGGGTTCAAGTGATTCTCCTGCCTCAGCCTCCTGAGTAGCTGAGATTACAGGTGTGCACCACCACACCCGGCTAATTTTTGTATTTTTAGTAGAGATGGGGTTTCACCATGTTGGTCAGGCTGGTCTCAAACTCCTGACCTGGTGAACTGCCCACCTGGGACTCCCAAAGTGCTGATATTACAGGTGTGAGTCACTGGGCCCCGCCTAAGGCCTTCTTTTTAATTATTCCCAATAGGAATGGCTTTATAACGGTATCTACTCAACCTGAAATTCCTGTATGTGTCAATCTGCATACCAGAATATCAAAAAAAGTGCATTTGTACTTAGGAAGGGGCTATTGAATCACACAATGGAAAACTACAAACAGGAGGAGGCTTGTGCAGCATTAGATTAGTTTTTAATGGGAACCAAAGTATGTTTCCTATAATTTAAGTAAAAGCCTGATATGGTTAGACTAGGACAAGGACTTAAATCATAGCTTTCAAAGCAAGACAGACAGGTGGTAGGAAGAAAAGATTTTAATGATTTATAGAAAAAGAAATTACTACTAGGTTAAAAGAAAAACGTACACCCAAAAGATGTAACCTGTGGTTTTTAATGCTACCAGAGGAGAAACTACGTGGTTATGAGACATCTGCCTTTGTTTTGCCAAATATTACTTTTTGTCAAATATTATTTGCCAAAATAAGATGACAGACATAAGCAGTTTTCTTAAGCTTCAGAATTTTGTAATGTGAGGTTTAAATTGTTATATATTCAGATTAAATTAATTAAGGCTTACAATAAACTTCTAATATATTTATACTATGTAAATAAAAATATATGCAGAAATAGCAAAAGAGTATTATTATCTCTGGGGCTTAAGAAAAGATCTTACCAGAGTGATTTCATGAAATAAGATCATCTTACAGATTTTCTCATCTCTTGAAAATGCCAAGATAGATAGTTTTGTGTAGCTCATGTTGCTTTTGGAAACGGGCTCAGAATTATTTAATGTATTACATCTGCATACTATCCGGAGTAAACTTTAGGTATTTTAAGATCTAATTCCCAGAACTCCTGTACAACTCACAGCTAAGAATTTAAGAAAACCAAACACAGGAGAGAAGAATTTGTTTTTCCTAACACTTTAATTACAATGCAGAAAAAAAGGAGGGCCCTGGTTAAAGCCAACTGTTTCCTCAGACAGCTGATAAGCCAGAAGAGACAGGATATGAAAAAAGAGAGACAAAATAAAGGAGCAGTGAAGATCAGCAGGTGATATAGAGGAGTGCTACCGATAGGACAATAAGAATGTCACAAAGGACCAAAACACAGCAGTCGTGATAGCTCTGCAATAAATGTTGGTGAATGTAGGGTGGATGGCAAACTCCAGATACCTGCAGTATAGTCTGAGGACACTGGCCATTTCCTCCGCATACATGGGTGACAGGAACCAGGGCTGCTACCTGTGCTCCGTCCTGTAACCACCAAAAGCATCTGTGTCTCTTCAAAACACGACAGCCCGAGGAGTTCATCACCCATCTTAACACACTAGTGTCAAAAGACTGTATAAAAGTTATGTACACCTATGGTGGAACGGGGCTATGGACTCTACAGAAATCATCCGACAACCTGCTCACCAACCTCTTTCATGGAAGAGCACACTGAGAAGCATAAGGAAGTGAGGATGAAGTAAACTGTTGTTCTGGATTTTAAGTCATCTGACGCTACAACTCAAAAACAAATGTTTCAAATTAAAGCATCTGGATCTTTTCTGAAAGAACAACCCTCAGAAAAGATCTAACACCTTCTCCATGTTAAAGATACAGGGACAGGAATGGGGACTGTCACAAAGGTTTCATCTGCATGGCAAACAGAACCAGCATAAGAAATCCACACCGAATAAATGAAAAGTACCAAATCAAGGCCTTTGTATTTTTGTCAGAATATATTTGATTACAATCTACCTCCTGAATGGCTTCCGGTGCTGATAAAATGACTATTTTTCTGAATGCTTTCCAACTTTCACCTTAGCAAGGAGCCGCATCCCCCAGGTTTAAGCTGAGTAGGACATTTTGGGAATTCTTGCATGTGATGTTTCAGGTGTTCACTGAAATCTTCTAATTGAAATTTTTCTTTTTAAAGAGCCAGGCATAACACATAGTGGCCTGCAGTGAACTTGTAAGTAACTAACCTCCCCTATGTTTTTCCCTCACACCACCACCAAGTTGGGGCTTATCCAATAAATATCTGCTCAGCCACTTTTCTGACTTGAAATCCAGGACTTTATTCTTACTCCTATTTATCCAATTTAATCTAGTTGGGTTTGGCCTAGCATTAGTTATGACTGGACCAGACCCATCTAGTCCCTGAGAGAAGTCATTTCTCAATACTACTTGTCTTTTGGACTAACTCATTCTGAATTGAGAAATAGTTTAAGAAATGAAAAAACAATGCAGGCTTTTCCAGTCTACTAAAAAAAAAAAACTATTTTTGTCTGCTGGAAGAGATGGAAGAATGAGTTAGATGCTGAGCCTATTTTAAGTTTCTCATACTGATCTGGTCAAGTTTGTCTTTTTAAAAGCCAACGCAATTTCTCACATAAGACTAAGGGAATTTAATGTTTAAAGATATAGTTGTTAAAATAATAATGCACATTATTGAATAATCCCTAAAATATTAAGTATTTACTACAAGACACAAAATGTGCTCACCTTTTTAATGCATTACCTCAGATATTCATCACATCCATCCTGTGAGGGAGACAATGTTATCATACATATTTTACCAACGAGAAAACAAAGCCTTAGAGAAGTTACGTAACGACTTGACAATATGCAAAGTTTTGTTGGTTTTAATTAAGAAAAATGCTTCCAACATCTTTGTGATCGTTTAATAAAATAAGGGGTAAATAACCTCCATATTTAAACTGGAATTGGAGAAGACTATTTTCTGGTGACTTCACAAGCATCTGTTTCAAGTAATGTTTCCTGATTTTATTACATTATCACAATTATGGCCACTGCAAAAGTCGAACAATGTATTAAAATGAATAATTTCTTAAAAATGCCCGAGACTTAAACAGATACCTAGTATTCTGATTACTATGCATTAGGATAATCTAAAATAAAGATACCCCTTTAGTAAGAAAATTACAAGTAAATTCCTTTCTGTTAGGAATTCACTTCATTCTGGTTCAAACCTCATTCTGATTCTTTGTTCACTCAAAATTGAACCATTAATTACTCATCTAGTTTGTAAAACAACTGCACTATTGGTATGCTGCCAAATTTTGTAAGACAGCTGTTTAAAACTATTACTTTTCTTTAGGTTTTCATACACACACACACACACATACACAGATGAGACAGAGTCTTGCTCTGTTGCCCAAGCTGGAGTGCAGTGGTGCAATCATGGCTCACCGCAGCCTCGACCTCCTGGGCTCAAGTGATCCTCCTACCTCAGCCTCCCCAGTAGCTAGGACTACAGGCACATGCCACCACACAGGGTTAATTTTTGTATTTTTTTGTATAGATGGGGTTTTGTCATGTTGCCCAGGCTGGTCTTGAATTTCGGGGCTCAAGTGATCCTTCTGCCAATGTGCTGGGATTACAGGCATGAGGCACTGCTCCCAGCCTAGGTTTTCTTTTATATAGAACCAAAATGTGGTCCTTTCAAAGTCTGTATGAATCATGAATCAGAATAAAGTGAAAAAGAAAATTTAATACCCTATTCAATAAATATAATTAAAATGTATTATCCTGTGTATTTTGAATCTCGGAAATAACTATAGAATCCAAAGAAATAGTGAAAAATTTAAACAGTATTCAAGGCTTTATCCTAAAGTCAGATAATTAGTAGGAAGCATAGCTGATAAACTGTGCAAGGTCAGTGAAGAGCCTTGAGGTTGGTGTAAAGTCCAGCCTAGCTCTTCAGCTATTACTCAGAATGGGACACCCATCTGGATGAAGAAAGCCAGTGGCACACCCTGATTCACTTAAAAATATATATACTACTTTTATGTGTAAAAGTGTATGAAGAGTGAAATACTACTGATTAAGTGGCATATACCGATTTCATTTTCACTTAAGAAGTATTAATGAAAAGCCCATGAATGTAACACAATACATTCCTAAACACTTGGATTTCCTGGAGACTGACTATATCACTATATTCTCTTGTCTGCTTCCCTGTTCTTACCAGGCCCTCTCATCTAAGATGAACTTTTATAGAGTCAAGCCCAGCAACAGTAAGAATAAGGCTGGGAAGCTAAGCAAGAGCCAGAGCATTGTGGGTTTCTTCCTACTTTGGAGATTTTGTGTTTTAAATTAACTTTAAAAGAACAGGGAACACAACAAAATCTAGAAAAAATGCACTGAAAAATCTAGAGAAATGTGTTAGAAATGCACTTTAAAAGGAGGGCTCACTAAAACTAATGAAAAGCAGGGCCGGGGTGCCTGTCTCTGCTAGAAGAGTCAGGAAAGGCTTCACAAAGGTGACCCCAGTTTTAGAACCAGAGGTACAGAGACAAATTCTAAAGTTTCTGCAGAATATGGAAGGCTGAAGTTGATCTTCCCACGGGAGGCAGACAGAAAATCCTCCTCCCAGGGCAGGCTACAAGGACGTGCAATTGTGCACTCATAAGGGTTACATGCTTAGGAGCGCTCCGTACTCAGAAGGAAGGGCCTGGCACTTGCTTTTATGCTATGCCTGAGCTAGCATTATCCTCTTTCTCTGCTGCCATCCAGTCAGAGGGCTACTAACTCTTCCTTCTAAATGTTCTTCTAACTGTCCTCTTCTCCACTTAAAACTACTTCTCATTGACTCCAACTTAAGCAGCAGCCTCCTAATGGGCCTTGTGTTTACCCTCAAACTACTTTGTAAGATGACTGGTCTTTCTAAATGGCATGTCTGATTCTGCATTAAATCATTTCCCTTTGTAATTGATAATCCAATGATGTCAGCATTAGTAAATAATGACTGACTTCAGCAAGGCATAGTGGGTGTATTATTTTGTTGGCTCAACACCTGTACTTCTTTCAGGCACGCCATTCCGCTTCTTCTGGTAACCCAACCCCACCCTTTACGAGAATGTCCTTCCCATGCAAGCTGGCACCTGAACCTAGCTGGGCAAATCAGAGCCTTTCCCTGGGATTTTGTTAGGATGGCGGAGGCTGCAAGATGTCAAAACCCAGAAGCTGTCAGAATCCATGATTCCTGCCAAGTGTGGAAAGCTGTCAATGCCAACAGTCAGAAATAAGAAATGGAGAGTCCTAGCAGTTTGGGTTCCTGGTTCTAGCTTCTTGAGACCCACCTGGCATCTCTAATTTTCTGTTTAACTCTGGTTTTTCTGAGACAATAAATTCCTCTTTTTGCTTAAGTTAATAAAGCTGGGTTTCTTGCTGGTACACAATATGGCAATTCATTATTTGGTTCGTACTTCTCCACCTAACCTATCTCCCCTTGTAAGCTCTCACACACAGTTTATAATAAAACGCTTAATATTCCACGAATTCAACATGCCATCACACCTCTGCACCTCAGTCTCTGCACCTCTGGTTCCAACACTGGGGTCACCTTTGTTAAGTCTTTGCTGACTTCCCTAAGAGAGACAAGCACCCCAGCTTGCTTTCCTTTAGTCTGTGCCTAAGTGCAAGCTCTTCCGGCAAAGTACTGCAACTGCCCTTGTGGATGACTGACTTGAGCCCGGCAGAGCAGTTAAGAACTTGGACTCTGGAGCCAAACTGAGCAGCTCCCCACTGAGTGGCTATGACTTCTCTGCCAGTTGGGCAGGCCTCTCCGCAACTCAATTTCTCATTCATAGAGAGATAAATAACGCCTACTCTAGAAGATTGTTGTGAACACAGAACCAAAACGTGGACCTTTCAAAGTCCGTATGAATCATAAATCATAATATAATAAAAAAGAAAACTGAATTGAAAAGGTTTACTGATTTCTCTGGAGCTCGTAATCACAATTACTCTGCACTCAGAAAAGCCATCCTCAACATTTGTTTCCTAGGAAATGTCAATAAGCAGGTGGAAATAAAATGCTCCGAAGAACAAACCCAGACGAAGAGACCTATTGCCAAATCTGCAAGTGAGTGCCGGCAATCCACCACTTCCAGACTGAGAGTGGCCACTTCTCAGCTGCCACTCACTCCTCAGCTGGCGACAGAATGCATACTCTCCTACTCTAAGCACTTTGAGTCTCCCCCCGTAAGAAGTATTTAAGCCACGAACTGAGACCACGATGTCACATGCTGATCAGGACATTCACAGTCATGCGTCACTTAACGATGGAGATCTGTTCTGAGAAATGGAGAAATGTCCCCTTAGGCAATTTCTTCGGGCAGTAGCGCACTGACACAACCCCAGATGACACAGCCTACTGCTCTAGGGCATGAACCTGTACCGCCTGTCACTGCACCGAACACTGCAGGCAACCGTAGCACACTAGTGAGTATCTCCGTATCTAACCATAAAAAAAGTACAGTAAGAAAACGATATTATAATTTTATGAAACCACGCTGGTCCACATTGACCGGCAACGTCCTTCTGCAGC